GGCCAGGTGAGTCACGCCGGATGTGGAGGACACATAGAGCTGTTGCTGCAAGATGTATAAGGAGGATTTCCAGTGAGAAAAACCAGCATATTGGACTGGACTACAACTAGGTGTAAATGTCACTAATATGTGTTAAATTGATGCTAGAGGTACCGTAAAGTGTTACTAAACCTAGGACCCCGCATTCACCGTATCCGCTCTCCCCGGACCCCGCATTCACCGTATCTGCTCTCCTGACCCCCTGGACCTCGCATTCACCGTATCCGCTCTCCCTGGACCCCGCATTCACCGTATATCCGCTCTCCCTGGACCCTGCATTCACCGTATCCGCTCTCCCCGGACCCCGCATTCACCGTATCCGCTCTCCCTGGACCCTGCATTCACCGTATCCCCCGAACCCCACTCACTCCCCCGGACCCCGCATTCACTGTATCCGACCCCCTCATTCTCTCCCCGGACCCCGCATTCACTATATCCGCTCTCCCCGGACCCCGCATTCCCTATATCCGCTCTCCCCGGACCCTGCATTCACTATATCCGCTCTCCCCGAACCCCGCATTCCCCATATCCGGTCTCCCCGGACCCTGCATTCACTATATCCGCTCTCCCCGGACCCCGCATTCACTATATCTGGTCTCCCCGGACCCTGCATTCACTATATCCGTCTCCCCTCTCCCCAATCCGGTCTCCCGGACCCCGCATTCACCATATCTGCTCTCCCCGGACCCCGCATTCACTATATCTGGTCTCCGCTCTCACTCCCGGACCCCGCCCGCTCTCCCCGGACCCCGCATTCACTATATCTGGTCTCCCCGGACCCCGCATTCACTATATCTGGTCTCCCCGGACCCCGCATTCACTATATCCGGTCTCCCAGACCCTGCATTCACTATATTCAGTCTCCCCGGACCCTGCATTCACTATATCCGCTCTCCCCGGACCCTGCATTCACTATATACCGCATTCACTATATCCGCTCTCCCGGGACCCTGCATTCACTATATCTGGTCTCCCACAGTACACACAACATGAGAATGCAATTATTTTTTGAAATATAAACTGCTAAATACTTTTTATCATCAGCAGTATATAGCAGTCTTGTGACTTCTCTCAGTGTCCAGTGGAGCACTGGTTAAAGCTTGTGCTTTGGCTGTCCTATAATGCTGCATAACCCCTGACCCTCTGTCTGGACAGTGCTGATTGGCCCTGTGCTGATCCCATCCAAAGAAAAAACTCTCTAGCAATACACACTAAACCGAGCATGTGCAGAGTGACTCCTAGAGCTCTGTACTATCAGCAGATGGATTGGGGACAGTAGAAGAAGGGGGAGGATCAGAGAAGACAGGATCAAACTGCCCTTTCACACCATGCGGAGGATTAACCCCTTAGGTTCCACAGTGAGTATAACCAGCACGCTTTCCTGCATCTACAGACTGATTGCACTGCTGTGGGTTTAGTAACACTTTATTATAAATTAAAATAACAAGACCAAAGCATCACCGATATTCAAAACAAAGAAAAAATATCTAAATACATATATATAGAAAAAAATCCACCTAAATCCAAATACATTCATTACCCTCAAAATACCCATCTATGCAAAAAACTGATAATGACAAAATACGAAAATGTGACATCGAGTCCCACGTTGTGAAGGACAAGCAATAAGTAATAAAAACCCTAAATAATAAAAAAATGTGCTAAAAACACATGTAACCCATATCCATTACCCAGCGCTGGTGTAAGAACCATGAATGCAACTAAACAGGACTGGCGCTACCCCCTTATCCACGGGGGGTCCAGTACAGGAGGACTGGTGGTACCCCCTTATCCACGGGGGATCCCAGTACAGGAGGACTGGTGGTACCCCCTTATCCACGGGGGTCCTGTACAGGAGGACTGGTGGTAACCCCTTATCCACGGGGGGCCCCATACAGGAGGACTAGTGGTACCCCCTTATCCACTGGGGGGCCTCGTACAGGCAGACTGGTGGTACCTCCTTATCCACAGAGGATCCCCGTACAGGAGGACTGGTGGTACCCCCTTATCCACAGAGGATCTCCGTACAGGAGGACTGGTGGTACCCCCTTATCAACGGGGGGCCCCGTACAGGAGGACTGGTGGTACCCGCTTATCCACGGGGGATCCCCGTACAGGACTGGTGGTACCCCCTGATCCCCGTACAGGAGGACAGGTGGTACCCCCTTATCCACAGGGGGCCCAGTACTGGAGGACTGGTGGTACCCCCTTATCCACAGAGGGCCCCGTACTGGAGGACTGGCGGTACCCCCTTATCCACGGGGGGCACCCTGTACAAAAGGACTGGTGGTACCCCCTTATCCACGGGGGGGCTCTGTACAGGAGGACTGGTGGAACCCCTTATCCAAGGGAGATCCCCGTACTGGAGGACTGGTGGTACCCCCTTGTCCACTGGGGGCCTCGTACAGGAGGACTGGTGGTACCCCCTTATCCACGGGGGGCCCCGTACAGGAGGACTGGTTGTACCCCCTTATCCATGGGGGGCCCCGTACAGGAGGACTGGTGGTACCCCCTTATCCACGGCTCTGACCACTGGTATAGACCAACAAGGAGTCATCTCTAACTTCTGAAGATCTAAAGACTTTAATTTCTGTTCACATCAAAGCCCATTGAATGGAAATCCAAGTATAGAGAACTGCGCGCACGTTCGTTCTTTCTGTACGAATATCAGTCTCTAAATCCGGGGCCTCCGATCGCCCCAACCCCCTCCACGTCTGCACACCCAGATCATCTATATATTACGGACATTAAGCTCCCGGCTGACGGTTGCAGAGGAGGACTCGTCCTGGAATCAGGTTCCATCATAACAGGAAGCAGAATGTTCGGAGACTTTGGAACATCGATCCTTCTACAATAAAACTTCACCTTCCTATAGACAGGAAAATACGGCTTCCCGTTATATTCGTCCTTTTCTTCACTCGCTGAGAGATTTACTTTTTTGCCTTTAAGAATTTTTATTGCTGGAGATGCAGCTACTGAAGAGACTGAGCCACCAGTGCAGGGCCGGGGACAAGGGGTGGGCAGGAGGGGCGGCTGCCCTGGGCACTGTGGTCTCATGTGAGATGGAGGGGGGCACCTCGAGGAGATTGGGGGAGGGGATTTGTATTGGGAGGGGGGAAGGGGATTTGTGCTAGGAAGGGAGGTGTGTGCTTGAAAAGGTGATATGGTAGAGGGGGGAAGTGGATTTGTGCTAGGAGGGGAATATTTTTTTTTGTGGGGGGGGGGGGGGGGGGGGGGGGAATTTGTGTTGGGAGGGGGAAAAGGGCTTTGTGTTAGGAAGGGTGGGTGCTTGAAAAGGTGGTGACATGGTAGAGGGGGGAAGTGGATTTGTGCTAGGAGGGTTTTTTTTGGGGGGGGGGAATTTGTGTTGGGGGGGGATTTGTGTTATGAAGGGGGGTGCTTGAAAAGGTGATATGGTAGAGGGGGAATTTGATTTGTGCTAGGAGGGGAATTTTTTTTTTTCTTGGGGGGGGGGGATTTGTGTTGGGAGGGGGGAAGGGGATTTGTGCTAGGAGGGGGGAGGTGTTTGAAAAGGTGATATGGTAGAGGGGAAAGTGGATTTGTGCTAGGAGGGCCATCCCCAAACTCTTCCCACAACAGTGTTCCCTTCACCGGAACTAGAGGGCCAAGCCCAACCCCTGAAAAACAACCCCACACCAAAATCTCCCCTTCACCAAACTTTACACTTGGGACAATGCAGTCAGGCAAGTACCGTTCTCCTGGCAACCGACAAACCCAGACACGTCCATCAGATTGCCAGACAGAGAAGCATGATTGGTCACTCCAGAGAACACGCCTCCCTTGCTCTAGAGTCCAGTGGCGGCGTGCTTTACACCACGGCATCCCACGCTTTGCATTGCACTTGGTGATGGAAGGCTTGGATGCAGCTGCTCGGCCATGGAAACCCATTTCCATGAAGCTCTCTACGCACTGTTGTTGGGCTCATCTGAAGGCCACACCAAGTTTGGAGGTCTTTAGCTATTGACTCTGCAGACAGTTGGCGACTTCTGCGCACTGTGCGCTTCAGCATGCGCTGACCCCCGCCCTGTCATGTGACGTGGCCTACCACTTGGTGGCTGAGTGGCTGTTGTTCCCAGTTGCTTCCAGTTTGTTATAATCCCACTAACAGTTGAGCGTGGAATATTTAGTAGCCAGGAAATGTCACGGATGGATTTATTGCCCAGGTGACCACCTATCACGGGACCACGCTTGGAGTCACTGAGCTCCTGAGAGCGACCCATTCTTTCACCAATGTTTGTAGATGCAGTCTGCATGCCTAGGGGCTTGATTTTATACATGTCCATGGAGGGTGATTGGAACACCTGAATCACATGATTTGGTGGGCGGGGACAATATTTGGTAATATAGTGTATCTTCTGTTCTGGGGAACCTTTGCTCAGCTACGCACTGATTTGGTTGGAGGACTTTTTGATTCCTTGGGTCTCTTCTCACCATTTACAGTCCGGTTATGTTGTGTCATTACTGGGCATCACAAAGGGAAATGTTAACCTTGCCACCTTTGCAAAACGTAAAAGGTTTACATGTCGGAAATACAGAAATCAAATAAATATCACATTATGGAGAACCGTCACTTTGGTGGAATATGAACGCCGCGATGGACTCACCCGTTTTGAGGAGATTTTCATGGACTTTATGGGTGCCGGGACCTAAGAGACAAAACTGATGAGTTACATCAGCAGAAGGTAAAGAACAATAAATGGAATGCAAAGTTTCATGAAAATGTAGCGCAAACCCTCAGACTTGGGTTTCATTCACACTTGTAGGACCATCCAAAGTTGCATCAAAGTTGAACTCCAAAGTCACGCTCATTAGAACTGAAGAAGCGGCTTGGAGAAGCTACAGAACATCTTCCACAGAACAGGTCCAGGTGAATGTCATCAACTACTACAAGCCATTCTCCACAAGCCAGTCCACACTGGGATCACGGTGTCCTTGGCTGGAATCTGGAAACCCCTTTTAACCCCTTCCAGTCCGGACACTTCCCCCCCCTTCCAGTCCGGACACTTTCCCCCCCTTCCAGTCCGGTAAACACTTTCCCAGTCCGGTCCACACTTCCCCCCCTTCCCCCCCCTTCCAGTCCATTCTGGACACTTTCCCCCCCTTCCAGTCCGGACACTTTCCCCCCCTTCCCAGTCCGGACACTTTCCACCTCCTTCCAGTCCGGACACTTTCCCCCCTTCCATTCCGGACGCTTTCACCCCCTTCCATTCCGGACGCTTTCACCCCCTTCCAGTCCGGACACTTTCCCCCCCTTCCAGTCCGGACACACTTTCCCCCCTTCCAGTCCGGACGCTTTCACCAGTCCCCTTTCCAGTCCAGGACACTTTCCACCCCCTTCCAGTCCGGACACCTTCACCCCCTTCAGTCCGGACCCTTCCAGTCCGGACACCTTCACCCCCTTCCAGTCCGGACACTTTCACACCCCCTTCCAGTCCGGACACTTTCACCCCCCTTCCAGTCCGGACACTTTCACCCCCCTTCCAGTCCGGACACCTTCACCCCCTTCCAGTCACACTTTCCCCCCCTTCCAGTCCAAACACTTCCCCCCCTTCCAGTCCGGACACTTTCCCCCCCTTCCAGTCCGGACACTTTTTCCCCCCCTTCCAGTCCGGACACTCCCCCCTTCCAGTCCGGACACCTTCCCCCTTCCAGTCCAGACACTTTCCCCCCTTCCAGTCCGGACACTCCCCCCCCCCTTCCAGTCCGGACACTTCCCCCCCTTCTAGTCCGGACACTTTCCCCCCCTTCCAGTCCGGACACTTACCCCCCCCCCTTCCAGTCCGGACACTTTCCCCCCCTTCCAGTCCGGACACTTTCCCCCCTTCCAGTCCGGACACTTCCCCCCCCCCCCTTCCAGTCCGGACACTTCCCCCCCTTCCAGTCCGGACACTTCCCCCCTTCCTGTCCGGACACTTTCACCCCCTTCCAGTCCAGGCCAATTTTCAGCTTTCAGCGCTGTCACACTTTGAATGACAATTGCGCGGTCATGCAACACTGTACCCATATGGATTTTTTAGCATTTTTTTTTGAGACAGATAAAGCTTTATTTTGGTGGTATTTATTCACCGCTGGGATTTTAATTTTTTTTCTATATAAATTCCAAAAATTTTGAAAAAAAATGTTTTTCTTATAAAAGTTTGCAAATAAATAATCTTTCATCATAAATCTTGGCCAAAATGTATTCATCTAATCTTTTTAGTAAAAAATAAATAAATAACCCAAATTAATTTATAACCAAAAAGTATAATTTTTCAAAAAGTTTTTTGACATTTTTTATTTTTTTTTTTATATTATTATTTATGTGTGTGTTTTTTTTTTTACATACTGACACCCTAGCAGTACAGTGTCACCATGGTGACACTGTACTACTTGAGGGGGGTATGAAGATTTTTTTTTTACACTGATTGCTTTTACACCCATAAAGGCTGTAAAAGCAATAATGTCTCCTTCTCTCTGGCTGCATTCTTGCAGCCATTGAGTATTACTGACTGAGCTGTGATTGGTCACAGCTTGTCACATGGTACAAAGCTGTTGTGAATAGCCCTGTACCATGTGACCTCTGTGATCATTCACAGATTTCACACGTAGTAAGCAATGATGTCAGAAGTGACATCTTGCTTACTACTATTCATGTGATCACTAATTGACCTCACATAGAGGTCCCATACAGCAATCGGTGTTCCGCTGTGTCCGCTGAACACCCCCCCCCCCCCCCCCGTTCGGTTCGCAGTCGAACATCCGAACCTACAGAGTGTTCGACCGCAAACTTCGAACAATTGGCAATTATTGCCAATAAAGTGCCCAAGTGAAAAGATAAGAAACGTTGACAGAGCTGGTGAAGTCGGACGGAAGTCCCGGAACTTTAGGTCATACCTTAAATACTTCCACCTCTTCCAGGATCAGCTCCTCCGTCTCCAGGTCGTCCTTCGGCAGGACGATCACCTTCTGCACCGTGCCCTGATCTAAGGAGGAACATCTGCCGGTCAGGTCTCACACACAATAATACATTTCGTGTTTACATGCCTCGTACTTCATCGAAGAGACACTCCAGGAATTCTCCGGCACCATGACCCGTGCTGAGGACACTGAGGAAACACCAAGACCTGAGAGCCGGAACTTCACTCGGGCCAAAGGCTTCCCATCCCAGTCCACAGCCACGGCTCCCCACATGAAAGATAAATATATTGGAAATGCTACAATTTTTGCCATATTCAATATATAAAAATATATATATATTAAATATGGCAAAAATGTTAGTATTTCAAACATATATAAAAATATTGTTCATATATTTTGTAATAAAAATGCATTTAAACATGCAGTGTGTATATATATATATATATATATATATATAATATATATATATATATATATATATATATACACACACACACACATGTATACAGTACAGGGGCAGACTGACCATTTGTAAACTCGGGCACTGCCCGAGGGCCCCGGGTCAGTAGGGGGCCCCATGAGATGCCCCTGGTACCTTTTTCATAGGCTTTTTTGAGTTTGGGCAAGGGCACAGGGGCCCCATGATCCCCTATTGCCCGGGGGCCCCATGAGTTGTCAGTCCATCCCTGATACAGTATATATATATATATATATATATATATATATATATATATATACAGTGGGGATCAAAAGTTTGGGCACCCCAGCTAAAAATTTGTATTAATGTGCATAAAGAAGACAAGGAAAGATGGAAAAATCTCCAAAAGGCATCAAATTACAGATTAGACATTCTTATAATATGTCAACAAAAGTTAGATTTTATTTCCATCATTTACACTTTCAAAATAACAGAAAACAAAAAAATGGCGTCTGCAAAAGTTTGGGCACCCTGCAGAGTTAATATCTTGTACAAGTATCACAGCTTGTAAACGCTTTTTGTAGCCAGCCAAGAGTCTTTCAATTCTTGTTTGAGGTATCTTTGCCCATTCTTCCTTACAAAAGTCTTCCAGTTCTTTGAGATTTCTGGGCTGTCTGTCACGCACTGCTCTTTTAAGGTCTAGCCATAGATTTTCAATTATGTTGAGGTCAGGAGATTGTGAAGGCCATGGCAAAACCTTCAGTTTACACCTCTTGATGTAATCCCCTCGTGGATTTCGAGGTGTGTTTAGGATCATTATCCATTTGTAGAAGCCATCCTCTCTTTAACTTCAGCTTTTTCACAGATGGCATCAAGTTACCATCCAAAATTTGCTGAAATTTTATTGAATCCATTTTTCCTTCTACTCGTGAGATGTTCCCTGTGCCACTGGCTGCAACACAACCCCAAAGCATGATTGATCCAACCCCATGCTTAACAGTTGGACAGAGGTTCTTTTCATTAAATTCTGTGCCCCTTCTTCTCCAAACGTACCTTTGTTCATTCCGGCCAAAAAGTTCAATTTTAACCTCATCGGTCCACAGAACTTGTTTCCAAAATGCATCAGGCTTGTCTATATGTTCATTTGCAAAGTTCAAACGATGATTTTTTGTGGTGAGGACGTAGAAGAGGTTTTCTTCTGATGACTCTTCCATGAAGACCATATTTGTACAAGTATCTCTTTATAGTGGAATAGTGTACCACAACTCCAGTGTCTGCCAGATCTTTCTGGAGGGATCGTGCAGTCAAACGTGGGTTTTGAATTGTTTTTCTCACAATCCTGCGAGCTGTTCTGTCTGATATTTTTCTTGGTCTTCCAGATCTTGCTTTAACTTCCACTGTTCCTGATGACTGCCATTTCTTAATTACATTCCGAACAGAGGATATTGACATCTGAAAACGCTTTGCTATCTTCTTATAGCCTTCTCCAGCTTTGTGAGCGTCAACTATTTTCAGTTTCAGTTTTCTAGACAACTGCTTAGAAGAACCCATGGTGCTGATTGTTGGGGCAAGGTCAGATGAGTCTGGGCATTTAAAACCTTTGAGATTGACATCACCTGGTCTTCCCAGACGATGATTGAGAACAATCCATGACACTGGCAGGTCTCAGCTTGGCAAAGGGGGCAGTGCATGCTATAAATTCTGCAGGGTGCCCAAACTTTTGCAGACGCCATTTTTTTGTTTTCTGTTATTTTGAAAGTGTAAATGATGGAAATAAAATCTAACTTTTGTTGACATATTATAAGAATGTCTAATCGGTAATTTGATGCCTTTTGGAGATTTTTCCATCTTTCCTTGGCTTCTTTATGCACATTAATACAAATTTTTAGCTGGGGTGCCCAAACTTTCGATCCCCACTGTACAAACTGCATGTTTAAATGCAATTTCATTACAAAAAATATATGAAAAATATTTATATATATGTTTGAAATACTACAATTTTGGCCATATTCATTATATATATATATTTATATATATTATATATATATATATATACTGTATGTTGAAATGCATTTTTATTGCAAGATATATGAAAAATATTTTAAAAAATACATTTAATCATATATATATATATATATATTTATAGAAATTTATTTGAAATAAATATTGAATATGGCCAAAATTGTAGCATTTAAAAAATATGGCAATATATTTGGGAAGAAAATTTCAAAAATATATTTAAAATATAAATTTTTCTTCCATGTGAGTGACATTCAGGGACCAATCTGAGCTATTCTCGATCATGTGACCACTATGTCAGGAAAAAAATGCAGGCTGGGATAAATAATTTTATAATATAATGTTTTATATTTTAAAAAGCGGTATTAAATAAGAGCGGCTTACTATAAATTCTAGATGTGGTGCTGCATTCCTTTTTTTTTTTTAATATAGTAAGAAAAATGTCTATACAACTGTTTTTGCATCACTGGTGCAAATCTTTATTGGCTGCACAGTAAAAGACACAGTTGTAAAGCACTAAACGCGTTTCGGCGGCGTAGCCGAAACACGTTAGGGGCTTACACACTGTTCCTATTTTTCATATGTAGCCAATAAAGATTTGCATCGGATAAAAAAAATACACTGAAAATAAATGTTTTTCTTGCCTGGGGGATAAACATACTGACCAGAGCACTGGTCTTCAGCTACTAAACTCTGCAGGAAGCAGTTGAGCCGGGGGTATGATCTTTTCATTTGTACTTTTCTTTTTATAGGCCTCCATTCTTCGATTTTCATCTGGTTAAATTCAGTCCGTTTTTTTTTTGTTTTTTTTTTTTTAAAATCGCAAGAATTTCCAGCAGAATGTATCAGTTTGCGTGGATGAAATTTTTTAAAAATTAACATTTTATTGGGGGGCGACTAAAATGATCACCTTTTATTTATTCCAAAAGAAAAAAAAAAAAAAGCTGTCCGCTGTAACTGATTATCAAGTAATTAGCTGGAGTTTGGTTTCAGTTTTTTTTTTTTTTAGATTGTAAGCTCTGAGGGTCAGGGCCCTAAATTGTATTGTAATTGTACCCTCTGCCCTCACATTGTAAATTATGCGCAAACTGTTAAATATAAATTGTATTAAAAATTAACAATGCTATTATTATTAATTATTATTATTAATAATAATAATAATAATTATAATAATAATAAATATTTTTATTAATAATAATAAATTAAAAATAATTTTATAATATTATTATAATTTTAATATTTTATTAATAATAATAATAATAAAAATAATTTATTAATAATAATAAAATATATTAATAATAATAATAATAATAATAATAATAATACTAATAATAATAATAATAATAAAATACTATAAAAATAATAATAATAATTAATAAATAATTATAATTAATAATAAAATAATAATTTTATAATTTAATAATATATAAATAATATTAATAAATAATTATTAAATAATAATATATATAATACTATTAATAATAATATATTAATAATATTTATATTAATTAAAAATAAACACAGCCGCCACATCTAATGACGGATAAAGCTTTGCAATTTATATTACATTTTTGTTTTTGGGTTTAAT